TCTAAGTTTGGACGTCGACGGGAATTAGCCCCGTGTATGATCTCTCGGGCTTTTGCAGCTAGTACAAAGCACACCCTATAGCACGATGGCTTTCTCGTGGGTAATCCCGCCCTCTGCATAGAGCATTTAATACGCAACATAATGTGAGTTGCTCGTCGTCTGTCGAGTGTCTCTTTGATACAATGTTGAATATCCATGAGGTATCTCTGTCGTCACGCATATCCTGCATTATGCATGTCGCGTCTGTTTTCGCCCTGGACGTCGACACGGAGGAGGACCTCGGGCGGAGTATAGCCAATTCCACAGAGTAGACTCTCCCGCGGACGATGGCACCGGGCACAGGTACCCCGAGGGGAGGGTTCAGGAGGAGATAGCCGCACCAACTTGGGTCGGCGATCTCATTAAAAAACAATAGAATACAAAGGCTCGCCGAGACGTCGCGCCCCCCGCGGAGCCTTAGCGTATTATTATTATAGATACTATTGTCAGAGACATTACATATTTATTTGAACAATGTAGCATAAAAAGAAAAAGATTACTATTGCCAATTTCAAGAACAATTTGTGATTGATTTAGCCTTGGATTAGATCCCCACCCGCCTGTAAAAGGCGTATTTCTTGTCTCCCTTTAATCAGGTCTTGCTGTATCTAGCAAATGTTGCGATAGCTTTGAAGTGTTTGTGTATACTACTCCTACTACCTGACCCAGAAGTCTGGGCGGCTTTGATCACATACAATAGAGGAAACCTCAGGACCTTTGATCTACCTAGTCTAGCAATACAGACCTCTTTAGAAATATATCAGTTAGTGATTAGGGTCGGAAGATGTTATCGTGTGTAACGAGCGAGAAGGGCGTTCACTCTATCGATACAGCTACTACTACTTGACCCAGAAGTCTTAGTAGCTTTGATCACATACGATAGAGGAAATTTTGAAACAGATTAATGGCGTCATCCACGTGCTGTAGATCGTCGTCATTGCCATCATCATCATCATCATCATCATCATCATCATAATCATCTTCATCATCATCATCATCATCATCATCATCATCACCATCATTATCATCACCATCATCATCATCATAATCATCTTCATCATCATCATCATCATCATCATCATCATCATCATCATTATCATCATCATCATCATCATCATCATCGCCATCATCATCATCATCATCATCATCATCGCCATCATCATCATCATCATCGCCATCATCATCATCGCCATCATTATCATCATCATCATCGCCATCATCATCATCATCATCATCATCATCATCATCATCATCATCATCATCATCATCATCATCATCATCATCATCATCATCATCATCATCATCATCATCATCATCATCATCATCATCATCATCATCATCATCTGTCAAGAGCCAGAGGGGCGTTGTTACAGTATGAGATTTGGCTTTCTAGCTCTCAGCAGGAGATATGTCCATTTGCATTTAACGAAAGCTTTGTGAACATTTGTCTAGTTTTCTTTCATTTGTATAATGTAGAAAGAAATATTAATAAATTGTAAATAAGAATAGATATTTGTACAAGAGGTATAATGCTGTGGCGGTTCCAGGGTGCACAGGTGGTTCATACCCCCCCCCCCCCTTCCCTGTTAAAACCCAGATTGGCATACAGCACTGTTAATATGCCCCCTATTGGTTTTTGTGCCATTTACCAGATTTTTGACCTGGCCAACAGGCACCTGAAAATGCGATGTACTTTTTTCGTTAGTTTGTCAGAGATCTTTGATGTTTACGCCCTGTTCTGTGGAATCCTTGATGTGCCCAAGTTATAATTTGCTTATGTGCCAGTATATTTTGTTTTATAGCGTAGGTTTAAATTTGTACTGTAAAAAACAAAAACTGATTTAGTTTTTTTAATTTTTTGAAAACTCATTTTCATAGCAAATTTAAATGCTTACACAAGTGCTCTACCATGGACCTACATCCATGCTCGAACATTCAAAGTCTAGCTGCAGTAGAAGAGTAAGATTGCGTTAGGGATAGTTTGTGTTGAAACACTTTATGGTCTGGAATAGGGAGACTACAAACTTCAAGTAGTCAAGTGTCACTCAGCAAGAGAGACAGAGAAAGAAAGAAAAAAAAAGACAGAGAAATAGACAGCTAGATGGATGGAAAATAGAGCATGATACTGTACAGGACTAAATGTATTATATATGACTAGTTGTTACTAAAGTAATGAAAGAGGGATAGAAAGAGCTATGGATGGAGAAGGAGAAAAAAGAGAAACAGCCAAACAGAAAGAGAAAGAAAGAGAGAGAGAGGGGGGGGGGGGGGAGTGGGAAATAGCTAGATGGACGGCAAATGATAGCATGATATTGTATATGATTAAATAATGAAAGAGTAATAGAAAGAGCATTGGAGAAGGAGAGAAGAGAGAAATGGCAAAACAGAAGAGAATATAAGCAGAGGGAAAGAGAGAGAGAAAGAGAGAGAATTGGGCTCTTTATGGACATGGTCTCTTTGGTAGAAAGGGGGATAAAATAATTGTGTAGATCCATGGTATGGTAAAGCAGGGTGATTGTGACCTCGTGAAACAGTGCATTGTGGCTAGCCAGGGAACGATTCCCATTGTGTACATCCTTCCACCGCCTAGCTCAATGCTTGAGTTTCACCATTGGTAGGTGGTGGTGGTAGTGGTGTTGGTATTATAGGGAGATTAGTGCGCTGAAGCTCAGTACATGAGCTGTAAACTACACTCTGTGTGTTATCGTGGGCTAACCCTTTGATAGCTCGTTCTACGTACAGTCCGTCTGGTTGTGGAGCGGGAGGCCTTCTATCCATCAGAGCCGTACAACTTCAAGCCCTGTTGGTATATCGACTTGATTGTTCCACTGGGATATTAATGCACCAGTGTGTTGGATATGGGAGGCAGTGCAGTTGTTGTATAATCGACGCACATGGGCGATTACATGGACTGTTGCATCTTGAGCTGAATGCAGTTGCGATTTTCTATCACTTGTGGATTCCAAGACAATAATAGCAACCGTGTTTGAGGTTTTGCTCTTACGAAGGTTTCACTTTCCATGCTGCTATCGATGATGACATTCATAACATCGTGGATGATTGCAGATCGGGGTTGACCTCGAAAAGATTCAATAGACTATTTTCGTGATGTAACTAAATTTAATGCATAGGTCTATGCAAACTGCATATATCAAGTGTTGCTAGGTAGGTCAAGCCATAATGTTTGCCCAACCTGGCAACAACTAATGTATGCAGTTTAGATTATGTCTATTGAAATACTATTATTCTTACCAGGTGAATGAAATAATTTGTATTGAGGCACTTTACAAAGACTTATGCGTTAAATTTGGTTACATTACTAACTAAAATGGCCTATTGAATTCAAGGTTTGTGATAGATGGCAAGGAATCGAGAAGCCGGGTCGCGGGGTCGGTCGGTGGAGATACCAGCACGCAGGATTAATAGCCTGGGATAAATGAGGCAATAAATTGAAGTTCACATAGTTCACCAAGCAAAACAAACGGATGACATGCCAACAACCTTTTTCTGACAGCAAGGCATGTGTTTAAGAAGCACTGGTTGCTTGTGTTTAGGAGACATGGAAGATATTTGATCGGTAGACTTTGGTCTTACAGCCTTACAGGAGAGATAATCTACATGCAGCTCAGCTCTGACTGGCCTGGCTTGTGCCTGGGATGTTAGTTTGGGAAAACACACAGATTATTAAATAGACAATTCAGACGGAGGTGGAGATAGATAAGGAGGGAAAAGATAGTGGGAATAGTGGTCTTGAAGGATTGATATTACTCTCTGGAACACCATTCGACCTCTGCTGTGTATTATTAACCCCTGGTGCCAAGGGTTATGTTTGTTGGAACTAAGATAGGCCTACATGTCACCCTGGAATGCATCCTAACTTAGTGCAGGCTTTGAATGCTGTAAGTGAGGAGTACTGATAGCGAACTATCCTGCAAGCTTTGGAATACCCCTAGGAACTTTTAGTCAAACAAACTTTATGTTTAACCTGTATGAACTCATCAAGCAAACTGTCCCTACAGCTTTGTGGCTTAAAGTTTGTAGCTCGAACCCTAGCTATTTCACTCATGCTTCAGATTTATTATAGGGCCACCGTTTGGCATCGTCTAAGCATTTTAGAAGGAGGGAAGGTAAACGAAGCCAGATTAATCCTCCAACTCGGTTGCAGCAACGGAACCCACCTCATATCATCAACCCGCGGGTCATTAATTATCCCGAGTAGGCATATGATTTGATTATGAGTGTTAGTTGTCATACGCCATGCTGGAGTGCACCGATTAAGGATTTAAACCAACGATGCGTGGAGGATTCTGACGCCGCATCCAGCCGAGAACTGTAATCTATCGTAATATAGCCGCATCCGTCAGCAGGGGATACAATCGCCGCCGAACAACATCCCATAACTCTCCCATCAAGATCGGCAGGAGGATCGAGTCCTCTCCATCCTAGCTCTCTCAGTTTAACGACGGATGACTTTAAACGACGGGGTGTCGGGAGGAATGCGCAAACGACTCTTATGGTCCCGTTGATCATCAGTGATACAGATACGCAAGGCCAGGCTCGGTGTTAATTGAGAAGTGTTCAGGTGGAGTATCGGTAGTGTGCAACACAGATGCCTATCTACCATTTCGATCATCGGTAAGGAATTCTGGATCTGTAAACTGACGTTTTTGTACTACAGTTTTATTTGGATATATCTCAGATTGGAATTCTGCATTGCATCTTGTTTTGTGTTTCACAATATCATGAACTTGACATTTTCAACTAATCTGAAGACAACTTACTCTTCGTAAACTCATTTTGAGGATGAGCTTCTAGCTGGTCTTATACTCCCGCTTGTTTGGATGTACAACCTGTGAGACACAACTAGATCTTTGGATGTCATCTGCTTGGAGAAAGGAATAAGGAAGCTGTAAGTGGAATAACATTGGAGCTTCTGTGTAATATAATAACATCACCTTCCAAAAAGGTCTGTTCTGCATATGATTATTTGTTTGTTTTGACTTAGCATTGCCGTTAACAATAGTGCTGGTAGCCTGGGAAGTGCATGTAGGTCACAGCATTCACACTTCGGAGAAATCATTGAAGTTTTTATTATTTGACGTACATGAAGTTAGCGCAAGAGGAACCCTCATATTTCTCCTATTTACCTGTAGCAGTCAAGGATCCTTAACAGAGTATTAGAATTCTGGTGCAAATATTATTCCACCGACATTTCTTGTCATTTTGTAGTGAGCTGTGGTCTCAGCTAGACAGAAATTTGATGAGTTGACCCTCAACATTTCTGACCAGAATGCAGAGTTCTTCCTCTTTTTTTCTTGGATTACACCTAAAATGATAATTAATCAACATTCCTCCATTGGACATTTCCGGAAGGTTTTAGCGTGAAACGTTGGCTCAAGAAAGATTGATTTGTCCATTGCTTTGATTCATTGATGTATCAAAAGTAAAATCTTGTGATTATCGTTTTAAGACCTGGTATCGATCACTTGATTGAGTTCTAATTACTCTAATGGAAGCGACGGAATCCCCTATCTGAGTTGAAGCCGCAGACAAGAGCGTTTACAACCTTTCTATTTCCTCTTTCGCAACGAGATTGGTTTCTTCTCATTTAGACAGACTGGTAGGAATCCCAAGGAGTGAGTGAGCGTATGGTGATTATTACATGCCGAGACTTTGGAGGAACTAAACTGAAAGTGTTGATTGGGTACCGGTAGGGATTTTAGGGGGAGTTACACAGTAAGCGCAAGGGATGGTGAAAGAGTAGCCTACCGACTGAATGGTGATAGTCAAGTTCTTCCAGACGAGAGTCCGAGACCCTCATGGGTACATGCATCATTCCTGTGAGTATATCAAAATCTGTTTAACCTACTTCTTCTTATTCTTCTTCCAGTATAGTACAGACTGCCGTTTGCGTATTATATTGTACCTTATGCTTGTCAAGTGCCGAGTGTACAGTTCAAGCACTTTCATTTCTTTCAAACAAATTCTAACTTACTACAAGATATTTAGAGCACTTTGTCTTTGAATATAATATATCAAGAATATGGCTGTGATAAAATCATTAAATTGAAATTGTTTGATATTTGGTGAACCTGCCATTGCCGCGTAAAACGACATCCCCTAGGGGTCTGACTAGGGTCTGACTAGGGGTCCGACTAGGGTCTGACTAGGGGTCCTACTAGGCTCTGACTAGGGGTCTGACTAGGGGTCTGACTCTCAGTCTCAGCAGACTGTATCATTTGGAGCCAGAAGAGTACTGTTAACTCATATACCGGTACTTTCAATTAACACAAAGTTAATGCCCTTCTGGCTCTGAACGGACATAATGTATTCAAGTTTCAATGGGCAAGGTGGTTGTATATATCGTCCCTATTTTCACGAAGTGACGGTAGTGAATGAAAATCGCATACAATTTGCGTGCAGATTTTCCTCACTACCGTCACTTCGTGAAAATAGGGACGATATGTTGCAGCTATGACAGGTTTCTTCTGTGAATTTGAAAATGTAATTCATTGTCTGCTAAGAGCGAGAAGGATATTAACTCTATGTAAAAGTGAAATAGATAAGGCCCTTCTAGCATTAAGGAGACAACATATAAGTTCATTGTATCCCTCATCTGCGACTACTTATCTGAAATGCATTCACCGTTCATAATCAGAACAACACTCCTCTTAGCCTCTTAAATGTTGCTTTTATAGCATCAGTATATACTCTAAAATTCAAAACCAAAATGTCAAAATGATGATTATTTTTCTTTCTATAAAAAAAAAGGAGTTCCCTCTGTGACTCTGTGGTTTAAAAAAAATTATTAAAAAAAAAAATGTTGTGTGTAATATTAGATGGTAGCTCTGCCAACATAGTAATGAACCATATAAACGACACATGCACATGATGGTATGCGGAGTACTATAAAACCAAGCATATAGCAGCGCTGAGGGGGTATATAGCGTGTGCCATTCAATATTTCAACTGCGTTGGAACCTGGTTTCGTATTTTTTCCCCCGCTGGGGTCAAAGGTCGTGGGGGTAAACAGTGTGAATTGGATGACATAGTTCTGGGCTCTGTCAACAAGACTTTGACTTCCGAGTGCTCTCTATCTTTGTTTGTTGACGAATTGATAGTCTCAAATCTTGGCTTTTGCCGTGACTGAAATAACATTTCTCATCTTCTTTTTCAATTTTTTTTTCCTGCACATATTGCTCTTTGTGTTTAGAGTTATTTCTTAGCTTTTGTAGAAGTTCTCCTTTTCAGATTAGTGTGAGTTTCTATCACTGCATGGAACTTGAGATATTCCAATTCTTTGAAAAGTGTAAAAGATATTTCCTTATCCTTATAGCCTACGGATATGGAAGAGCCTATATCATATATAAATTAAGGGCAACACAAATTAAGGGCAACACAAATAAAGGGCAGCATGAATTAAGGGCAGCATAAATAAGGGGTAGCATAAACTAAGGGCATCATTGCAGCATTAATAAATAATTTTCACTTTTCAATCCAAAATAAGCCCCAAACCACCTTTTTTAGCGTTGAAAATTGTAGGATTATGTTTTTTCCAATCCATCGTTATTGACGGATATTCTATTTTCCTGCTTGAGTTGTTTTGATACTCCCACCTCAGTCACAAGTAGACATTTTACAAAACCAACCACAAAACGGTTGCTATCACTTTACACTATGGTTGAGAAACCGAGAATAATGTAGACAATGTTTGCTTAATCTGTGGGAAAGAAAGAAAGGGAAAACCACCTTTCAAATACCACTTCAATAGATGACTCATACTGCGTGGTATTCATCCATGTTGAAACTGAGTAATGGCTGGCATGTGGTTTAGTATCGTGTGTGGAGTAATGTTCATCGATTAGCCAAATAGAATTCAGGCACGTGTAGAAGGGGATTTTGATGTTTAGATTATTTTCTAAGTGGTAATCACAAGATCTTATCTAGCTCTCTTCACATTCACAACCTACTAGAATACAGACAACATATAAAAAAAGGAAATGAACAGTGGCCTGCATGGCATCAAATAGAAATTGTAATATAGATGATTTACAAACAATTGTTGTGTGCAGATATTCATCTTGGAAATGAGAGAACTTTGAATGTGAGCATAACGTGCTGTTGTTTATAAGAATTCTTTTCCTGTTTTCTTTTGAATGATGATTTTTCATGATGGGGGTATTTCTTTTTTTTCAATTTAACTTATTTATTTATTCATTTATTTATTTATTTTATTTATTTATTTTATTTATTTTATTTATTTTTTATTTTTTTGGGGGGGGGGGCTTCTTACCTAATAGAATCCAACTCGTAAAATTATAAGTGTCATTTTTATTGGTCCATGTGCATTGCGAAATGATGCTTGTGAAGGGGATTATGCGCTCTGTGTTTTAGAGATAAATTTGTTAACATTGTCCTCCGGGTGTGTCGAAGATGTCCATTGAAGGCATTTAAGATTAATTGAACGCTATACCAGTAATTAATAATACCAGACAAAGAAGAATGAAGCAAAATTATGACTTAACTCCTGCACTGCCTGGTTTCAGTAAAAGATGCAAAGGGCGCGTTCATGCTTGATTTTGACGGCCAGAATTAGGCATCTGTTACGCGTTTAGTTAAAAACACGATTGCGTTCATGCTCACTTTTGTAGAATCACCGAAAAACGGCGATCACGATCGCCAATCGTAAACTCACAAAAAGATGCGTTTACAATTTGTAAACGCGTTTAAATGGGGTCAACGCACTGACCTCTAGTAGCATGCGCACACAGGTTTGCGAATCCAGCTAAAGGCCACCCAAGGAGAATTGCCTGGAGAAGTGAGCATGAACAGTGCACCGTGGAACTGCGATTACGATGAGCGTTTACGATGAGCGTTACAAATCGCTCATTCTGCCTTCAAAATCAAGCATGAACGCGCCCAAATACACACGCGAACACGATTCTGAATGAAATCAGTAGCGTAACTCGTTTTGGAATTTGGAGTGGAGTATAAGCTTTCATAGTACTTACAAATTTTCTGGAAAAATGTAGTACATGGCCAGCAAAATATTTGATGTTTCCTTTTTAAGCTGAAAATGATGTTTTCCAGTCTTTCTTCAAACATTTCAAAATAATTTTTATGGCTATGTTTTCCTACATTCTAAGATTAATCTTGAAACAGTTCAACTACTCTTACGACCTTGTCAAAATAATTGATACATTCAAGTTCATTTGATGAAAAGAATTTTTTATCCCATCATGTTTTACTTGCAATTTTCATAACTAAATATAAGTAAGCCTTATGGGTCACTTGCCAGTGGCCTGACCATTGCTCAGTGGGAGTGGTCAGTTGATAGTGGCAGGGAGGTTGTCATTAAAATGACCCCTGCTGTGCGGATACAGTAGGCTTGTCCCCATCAGCTTGAGTTTTCCAAATAGCCCGCTATTTCTGATTCTGACAATTAGCCCGAAGTTACAAATTGCGTCTTCATCAGCTCCAAACTCAAGCTCAAGAAATTTTGCTCAGTGTTTGCGCATAGTGCAAGTCTTCGGGCTGGTGAAGATGGACCGGACATATAACGGGCTATTTCGCAAACTAGTCCAAGATATCTTGGGAAGATTTCCGAAGCCCACTATTTGCATCTTCACCGGCCAAATAGCCCGCTATGTCGTGATCGGGTTAATTTCCAGAATCGGAAATAGCAGGCTTTTCGGCAAACTCTTCTGCAAACTGAAGCTGATGATGACGGACCTAGTGAAAAGAAAGTGTTCAGCCGTGAAAGAATGTATTGATGAATTGCAATCAATGACCTCGAAAGGTCAAACTGTGTAGAGTTTGTATTGATTGATATCGTTTTTAATCTAGTCAGATCACCTCACACCAGACATACTGAAAGGTCTAGGTATGTTACTGCTTAAAATAAGCTTTAAAAGAATTATGGATCCTGTAATACTATTGTGCACCCAGCAGAAAGCATTCGTACAGCTACCAAATATTTATATTTGGGGGGGGGGGGGATTAGGGTCTACAGATTCCTTTTGGGGGCTTAACATTATTATAAACCCTAGAAGAGATTCTTCCATTCTTTTTGAATTTTTGTGTAAGAGCATTTAAAAAATGCACTGTATCCCCTTAAGCTTTTTGAGAGATTCTTAGTTTTTATAAGTATGAGGAGGACACCAAAATGAATTTGAGTACCGGTAATAGTTATTTTTTTAGTTACATGCTGTGTGGAGGGAATTAACTTCAATGTCATGCCAGCATGTATGGTGTAGTCAAAATGACTGCTTGTACATGAAGTTAAAAACTTGTAATTCTCGTTGTTTTGGTCCCATGTGAACCCTTGTCAACCATGATCATTGTTTTTAAAGAGAAGGTTGAGTTCTGGGAAGAGGTGAAAAATAATTTGTGAGCGTTATCATTCTTATTATGTAAGTGTGGAAGAACATCAGATAAGACATGTTCCCTGAAAAGCATGGCTCTTCAAATGCCTTCATATTCTAAATATGTCAAGTAACATTGTAAAACTCGGGGGTGGGATTTTTACGCCACGTGCTCATGTAGTCCCATATACATCTTTCTGTGTACAGTGTTTGTAACTTTACCAAGACTAGGCCAAATTTCTTAGTATTTTGATGATTCCAGAACCTTGCAATACACACAAATTCTTATATGCTAGATGATCAACCTTTTCTGGTCGATTCCACACCGTTTCTTTCACAATGCAATTGCATGACCAGAACTCAACTTCATCTTTAACTTCAAGGTTTTGCAAAATTCATGTTAAAAACTACCACTCTTCCGTGTGAACATGCCTAATAAGTTAGTAACACATTCCTGAAGTGTCCATGTGGAATTG